TGGGACTGAAGTTTGAACTCAGGCCTTCACATTTTCAAAGCAGGCACTCTACTGTTTGGGCCACACCTCCAGTCCATTTTGCTCTGGCTGTCTGGGAGATGGGGGTCTCAGGAACTACGTGCCCAGGCTAGCCTTGAACCTCTGTTCTCCTGATCTCAGCCTCTCAAGTAGGGGGGATTACAGGTACAAGCCACTGGTGCCTGGCTTGATTTTTCATTTAACTGAGTCATGACTGTCATTTTTTTTTATCAATTCAGATTTAGACCATTCTTTTGTAAATCTCTGAGGTATTTATATGTTTGTTTATTTTCCAGTTTTCACTATTACAAAGAATGTCACAAGCCTTTTGTATAAATCTTTGTACACTTATGTGACATTATTTGTAGAATGGCTTTCTAGAAGGAGAATTGCTGGATCAAAGGGTAGAGATCTTTAACATTTTGGTAGATACTGTCAAATTGTATTCTAAAAATGAGAACAATTACATTCTTAGCAGTAGTGCACCAGAGTGCCTGTTTCCCTGAATCTTTATCAATATTGATAAAGATTATTTTGATAAAGATTCAGGGATCCTACAAAAAATTCTTAGTCTGAGAGATTATTATAATTTGCATTTTCTATTATGATTGTGTCATTATTATTATTATTATTTGCAGTGCTGGGGCTTGAACTCAGGGTCTGCACCTTGAGCCACTCCACCAGCCCTTTTTTGTGATGGGCTTTTTTGAAATAGGGTCTCTCAAACTATTTGCCCCAGCTGGCTTCAAACTGAGATCCTCCTGATCTCTGTCTCCTGTGTAGCTAGAACTATAGGCATTTAAGCCACCGGTGCCTGGAGTATCATCTTTATTGAACACATATTTTTCTGTAAACTTGTTGTCATCTATTTTGTCTATTTTACTGCCCAGTTGTTTTTGATTTTGTTTTTTTTTCCACAGATTTGTGAGAACTCTTACTATTAAGGAAGTTAGCCTTTGCCTCTAGGTATTGAAAATATTTTCCCCCAGATTGCTTGTTTCTTGCATTGCTGTGGTGTTTTTATGCCTTCTTTTACAGATGTAAAATATTTTTGCAGTAAAATTTATTAGTATTTTTCTTTATGGCTTCTGGGTTTTCAGCTTAGAAAGCTTCCTCAGTCCATGCTTAGAAAGCTTCCTCAGTCCATGATTTGAAAAAAGTTCTAGCATTCCTTTAACACTTTTACAGCTTCATTTTTAAGAAAAAAATAAAACAATCTGTGAGCAGATCACTCTGAATTTGCCCTATGTCATCTGATCTCAGAAGCTAAGCAGGATTGAGCTTGGTTAGTACTTGGATGGGAGAAATACTAAAATATCTGGCACATACAAAAAATGTACATCATATACGTGTGCAGGTTGTAGAGGACAATAGTAAAACAAAGACCAGAAATTCAACCTATGAAATAGTGGTTTAGTGATTTTTCTTGTTTTGAGATAGGATCTTTCTCTGGGTAGCCCAAGCTGGCCTTGAACTCTCAATCCTGCCTCAGCATCTTGTATACTGGGATTACAGGGGCATGCCACCACACCTGGCTAGTGGTTTTATTTTTTACGGTAGAAAATGTGACTGAAGGGCTAAGTGTGGTGGCACAGGTATGTAATCCCAGGCTATTTATGGGCTACTCACAAGCTAAAGTAGGAGGATAGCCCTCTGACCTCAATACTCTATCTGAAAAATGAACTAAATGAAAAAGGGCTGGAGACTTGGCTCACCTGGTAGAATGCTTATGAGAGGCCCTGAGTTCAAACTCAAGTACAGGGAAAAAACAAACAAACAAAAAGGGGTGGGGATAGGGGTAAGGGGTATAGGTATCACTTAGTGACAGAGTCCTTACCTAGTATGCACAGAGCCCTGGGTTTCATCCCCATCCCCACAAAACAAAACAAAAAGAAAGAAAGAAAAAGAAAAATCCATTTGGAATTGTTGGGGGGGTGGTGGTTTGCTTAGGAGTCATAGAGGGTAGTTAGTATGTGTGTTGCTTTTTTTCCTGTGTAGCTATCCTGTTGCACCAACATCTTTTATTAAGCAATCCCATTTTCCCCCGATATTCCTTTTTAAAAAAAATATTTTTGGTGTTTTGAGACAGGATCTTGCTATACAGCCCAGGCTGGCCTAGATCTCCTGCCTAGCCTCCCAAGTGCTGGGATTAAAATGTGTACCACCACACCCAGCTCTTTCTTCTGATCTCTGTATACAAAAAATAAAATAATTCTTACCTCTGTTAAGGTGCATAACAGAAGTCCTTGATGTTTTCAGATTCAGTAATCAAAGTAATCACCACTTTCTAAAGCTTGATGAAAAGAGAATAAGGAAACTTTCTAATTTCATAATGGGGAAAAAAATCCCACTAGGTATTTGACCTCTTTAACCTCAGCAAGAAATTTAACTTCCTTAAGCGCCAGTTCCTTGCCCTTCAAAATGAAGGTAATGATAACACACTTTATGGGTTGCTGTTTGGACTAAGTGGGCTAAAGGAGGAACACGCTGGGCATGGTGCTTGGGCAAACTAAGCTTTCAATCAATGGTTTAATAGTTGTTATTAGGAAGGTTATTGTTACTATATTACTGGCTTCTAGCTCCTTGGAAGGAAGTCCATGCTTTCTGGCTTTGTGTCTGGACCACAGTTCTTGCATGGGATTGTTATTGTTAAATAGGTTTAGTTTGCTAATTTTATGCTTTGTAATTATGTGGAATTTGGAGACTTCTAGATGTGCGTTTGCATAAATAAATGAAAACACCACCAATTACTGATACTAAGTAGTGTTTCCTGATCCTGAGAGCCTCTCTGCCCTGCTGAAAGGCAGTGGGACGCTCCATGGGCGTCCTCTTGGAACCGGTGTGCCTTCGCGTCCCAGCGCTAAGCCTTCATTAGAAGTAGTGCTCCCATACTGTAGACTTTGGTAGAAATGGAGGCCATCTCATTCACATACTTCCTTTGGTGGCACTGGGGTTTGAACTCAGAGCTTCTTGTTTGCAAACCAGGTGCTCTACCACTTGAAGCACACCTCTAGTCCATTTTTGCTGTAGACGGGGTCTTGTGAACTATTTTCCCAGGCTGGCCTCGAACTGTGATCCTCCTGATCTCAGTCTCCCAAGTAGCTAGGATGACAGGCGTGAGTCGTGCCTAGCCTTAATATACTTTATGCCTCATTATTTCCAAACTGATGTTAAGTAGTTCCATCCATGCTTACGATGTTGAGAACAGTTTACTGAAGTTATGTGGTAAAGCGCAGTTCTTATATTATCAAATACATAAGGATGAATGAACTAGCTCCTCCGTTTCATAGCTGGAGGAACTCTAGCACAAATAGTATTCTTCTTGCTGAAATTTAGAAAGGTAATGGCAAGAACCCATTTGTTTTTAGATCTCTTGGGTCACAGTTCAGTAATATCTGTTAGTCCAAATTATTCTTAAAAGGAACCACTGGATATGGAAATTATAATCTGAATAGATATTACAAAGAGAAAATTATCCCTTTATTTGAAATAGATGAGTGAATTATTTTGAGCTATGTTCTATCCCTTAATTATTCTATTATATCTAGATCTTAACTGCTCCGGAAAGAGTGTATGGTTTAAGGACACCAATAAGCATTTACAGAATATTAACGATCCAACAATGGGTTGATGATTCAGCCTGGATTCACGCCAGGGTCTGTGAAAGAACTCAATAAACATGATATGCATTTCAAACACTGGCAATCGTAATTAAAATTTCCAAACCCCTCAATCCTATAAATTACATCGAATAGAAGCATTTGGCCTGCCCCTGCTCCCCTCCAGCGAGCGTCCTTTCCAGGCACTTTGGGACCCAGTACCATATTGTCAAAGAAAAAAAGGTGACGTTTGGCTTTTTTCCCTTTTTTTTTAAAATAAAGATTCTCTTTTCCAAACTTATTGCAGAGTTGCACACTGCTCTTTTTAAAATCCTCTCTATATCAGTGGTTACGGTCTCTCCTTTATTCCTTAACGAGAATTTTAAAAATTATTCTCTTAGCCTCCCCACCCCCCTTGGGATATGAATCTGCTTCTTAAATGACTGAAAAAACAAGTTATGACCCTGATGATAACAGGAGCAACTGGACTCCCGCCCGTTCACCCCAGGGACCCGCTCGCAGCGCGCAGCCGGTTCCGGGCAGGTCAGCCCGGCGTCCGCCCCGCCACTTCACCCGCCCCAGCCCCGCCTCTGGGACGCGGGGGCGGCCGGGAGCGCGGCCCGCGGCGGAGGAGGGCCGGCCTCACACAAAGACGCGCCCCCGGCGGGGAGCCCAGCCCACCGGTCCCAGCCGTCGCCTGCAGCGCGCGCCCTCAGGTCGGGTCGCGGCGCCGCCACAGCTCGGTCTCTCCTTCTGCTCATTTTATTAAAAAAAAAAAAAAAAAAAAAAAAAAAAGAAAAGAAAAAAAAGAAATTCCGCCCCGCCAGTCCCGCCTTCCGCCTCCCATTGGTCCGCTCTCCGTACACGTCACGCCATGCTTCCCCAATGGCGAGGCGTGATACTGCGAGGTGGGCCGGACCCGAGCGGGGAGTGGGCGGCGAGTCGGCGCAGCAGCTCCGCCGCGGCTGTGCCACCATCGCGGAGGTGCCGCTGCTCCGACAGACGCTCGCGAGCTGCCCCCCGCGCTCCAGAGCCTCCTCTTCCTCCCGCACGCCCCGAGACGCTCGCCCTGCTGGGCCTCGGTCCCCGCCTCCTCCCCCCTCTTCTTCCCCTCTCGCGCTTTCCATACTGCCTCTGCCTCATTTTCTCTCCTAGTTGAGGGAAAGAGAAAAAATCACCATCTTCCTCAGGGAGCCCCTCGCCCTCGGAAAAACAAAACCAGACATGTTCCTGGGCTCCCGGTTCTGAAGGCTTGGCCCGACCGAGGAGGAGGGAGCCTCGTTCAAGTCGCAGTAGAGGGCACGGCAGGGGAGCCCCCGCAGCCCGGCGTCGCGTCCCCGCGGGCCGGCCCCCTCGGCCCTGCGCCCGCCGCCCCTCGCTCCCCGCGGCCTCCCGCCGGCCCCTGCCGCTTTCCCAGGAGCCGGGCCGCCGACACCGCTCATTGATGGTGTAGCGGATTAGGGGAAGGTAAGTCTCCAACTGGCCTGTGCCGTGTCGTGGGCTTGTTTTCATGGCGCCTCGTCCTGGGGACCAGCTGCTGGGCGGGCCAAGGGGGGTCGTCCCGGCTGAGCCCGAAAGAAATGGCCGGTGTGGAAGCCGCCGACGTGGAGGGGTTGCCAAGGCTGCCGGGGCGGGAGGGCGGCGGGAATAAAGGGCCAGGGTGGGGGCACTTTAGGGGAGTCCTGTGCCGGCCAGGTGACTGTCCTCCGTGCCTTGGGACCCCTCGTCGCCTCTTGCCTTCCTGTTCGCGCTCTCGGACTTGTCTAAGGGTGAAAGTGTTTCGTGTCCCCTAAATTATTGGCCGAACTACGGGAGGGAGGGAAGTCAGGGCGGTTTAAAAAAATCGTCAGTGCGTGAATTTGGGGGTGTGGGAGGTGGACTTTGATTCAAGTATTGTTTTCGACATCGGGGGCAGATACCTTCGTTTGTGTTCTCAATCTCTAGTCCTCTGCCCCGTGTGACTACAAAATGAGGAAACCAGAAAGCGCTTGCAGCAGAAGAGAATTCTTCTGGCATGTTTTTTCAGTTCTGGCTGAAGGACGGTGGCTTCTCTTCAGTTCTTTCTTACGGTTGGGGGAGAGGGTGGTCGTACACCCGTCAGGGCGTGCGTGTGGGGTGGAGGGGAGAGTAGTGCAGGCTTTCCTTTGGAACTGGTTGTTTTGAGAAGTTGTTGAAAGGGAAACAAAATGATTCATTGTCGAATTGTCATTTTCCCCTGTCTCTTTTCCAAGGTTTGCTTACAGTTTTTTTTTTTGGATTACAGACTTCACAAACATTGATTTAAGCAAAATGTGTCCTTGAGAAACTGAGTGCTTTACATGTTGCAGTGTGTGTTGCTATTTTAAGGTGCATTTTAGAAAGTAGTTTTGTGTGAATCCCGAAATAGGCATCTCCAAAGCAATTTTTTTTAAATAAAAAAGATAACTTAGTAAAAGGGTGAGCTTGGTGAATTACAAAACATTTAATATAACAAACCAGTGCATCTTATGTTTAGATTTGGAAGTTTTCTTTTGTTAAATATTGCTTTCTATTTAAAGAGATCTTTTTTGTTTGGTGTGCACTGGTTTCTTTAGGCTCAGTCAGTTGGGGGAGGGGTGAGAGGCTGAATGTATACAATAATAAAATCATCTTTGGGTAGGTATTTCCTTCCATGGATTTGTTTGATGAGTTAATTCCACAGTACATTATAAGCCAGTTTTGATTTTGATGGCCTAGTCTGGGTGAAAGCAGGCTTCCAGCTCTCTCTTGTTGAGGTCGAAGGGAAGAGGCAGAGACAGACAGACACACACGCACACATACACAGAATACCAGGCTGAGGGCTCATTGTTCTTCCATACACACATTCATTCTCTCTCCCATATTTGGGACTAGGTTTGCACAGACAAACACAGCTCTTTTTGGGAGAGGAGAGAAGACGGGGAAGGGAGGGTGCTTTTCCTTTTCAGCTTTCTTTCACCCATCTCATGTCTGGCCTTTTTTGCAACCTTGCAAGGCAGAAGAGTGCATGGGGAACTAAAAGACGCTCAGAAACATGTTCAGAGACTCCTCATGCTCCTTTTCCTCCCTTTGCAGTCCTGCTTTCTGCTACTCTTTCTTTTCTGTGTATGTAAACATAAACTCTACATGTCTTGGCCTTATATTCAGCACTCAGTGCTTTCATAGTCCTCATCGCCCCTGACTTTTGGGACTGTGATTTGTTCACTTGACTGTAGTGAATGTTTTTCTCTTCTAAGTAGAAATAGGGTGTCTCAGTTAAAATTATAAAGATTTGTTTGAGGTTAATATTTAGCAAAATAGTGTGTGTGTGTGTTCAGTGGTCTTGAGAGTTTGATGGTCAGGTTTGCTGGCTATTGACCTATCAGTGAGGCTATTGTTTTGTAAATAGAGGTTTTAATAAAAGATCTGGTTTTCTGTTCGGGGGACTGGTGTAGAGGCTCCTTTGAGCACTGGACAGTTGAGAGTCCACTTGGGGAAAACCCAGCTCTGGACCAATGATGGAGGTTGACTTGAACACATGTGGGCTGCAGAATAGCACCTTCTTCTGGTTAATTGCTTTGAAGGATCCAGATGAAGATGATGGGGGAGGGGATTAACTGCTGAGGTTTAATGATTTTCTTTTAAATGCAGTTCCAGTGCCTTTCTGCAAATGCCACTTCCCAGGGCTGTTAATACAGATGCCCTTTGACAGGCATGGTTGCATCACGGCTTTATTATATTATTGGCTGTCTCTTGACATTCATTTTATGTTATCAAAGGTATTTATACATTGTGACTTGCAGTGACTCCTTTGAATTGATACTCTTCTCTCTTTCATGAGAAATACAGTATGTCTTGAAATAGTAATTAAGATAAGGGGGATTATTTGCATTTCAGGTGTTGGAAACTATATACACTAGCTGTCCTTAAAAAAAGTTTTTAGTACCATTAAAAAAAATCAAATGTATCCTGTAGAAAGTGAAATCCTAACACTGTACACAGATTTTCTACAGGGATTTAATCCTGGTAGAGGGAAAAGGGAGGAGTTGGGATGGAAAAAAAAAACTCACTAAAATCATCAGTTTTGCATATATGTGTTCCATTGCAGTAATGTGCTTTCAATAGTCATATTAACATAAATAAAAAATAAGCTTGATAGGATAGCTTGTACATTAGATTTTTAAAAAAAAACAGGCCAAAAAAAGACCAGGAAAAATTTGAAATGAGTATTATACAGATTAACTTACAAGAGGGCCGAATTCCCCTTTAGAATCTCCTAAACCAAGGTACAGTTTCAGAGATTTTCTACTTGATAAATGCCTTAAAGGACTTTGTTAGCACAGATCCTAACCTATCAGTTTTTTTTTTTTTTTTTAACATAATGAATGATTTACGTTAGAAAGATTTTCGGTCAGATTTGTAGTCACTGAATAAACATCTCCTGTAACCAGACTGGTTACTCATAAGAGTGTGATTTCTGATTCTCTTTCCTTCCAAAATATGAAGCATGGGGTGAGGCTGTGGCTCAAAGTGTTCGGCCCTGGGTTCAAAACCCAATAACACCAAAACAAAAAACTTCCCCAAAACTCAGAAGTTGTGCATTTTTTACAATGAAGTGCAAACAGTTTAAATGGGCTATTTATTTAGTGGGAATAGTACCAGGTAATTTCAATCCTTTGTCAAGGAAACTAGAATGAGAACCGATTTCAATTAAAAAGATAATCCAGCCAGGTGCTGGTTGCTCACACCTTAATCCTAGCTACTTGGGAGGCTGAGATCTGAAGGATCAGAAGTTTGAGTCCAGGCAAATGGTTTATGAGACCCCCATCTCCACAATAACCAGAGTGGAGATAGAGCACTTGTTTTGCAAACATGAAGTCCTGAGTCCAAACTCCAGTCCCTTTAAAAAAAAAAAAAAAAAAAAGGTAATTCAAATGAAGTAATAAAATATACCAGTTACTTTTTTCAACTTTGACTTATTGGTCGGTGAACAAAGTTCTTAAAAAAATGGGGCAATAATAACTGGCAGATCCTGCAATATTTATATGTAATATCAAACAGATATTGAACAACAATATGTCAGGAGTTGTAAAGAAAAAAGCACACAGAAGTGTATGTGTTTCTCTCAAAAATCCCTATATGTTGAATATTATTATGGGTTTCATAAACACCAATTACTTTAAAATTGGTTTTGAATCTTTAACATCTTGTTTAAATCTCAGTAATAAAAAAAATATTTAAGTGGTAAAGTAGGTTGTATATACTGAGTTCTTTGGGAATAGTATGCTTCCCTACTAACTGCTCTTGGCAGATACTTTTGCAGTTGACTGAAAGGTTAGGATAGCAGAAAATTCAGATGTTTAAGTGAGTCACTGTTGTAACCTGTGAGCTTCAGTACACACACACACACACACACACATCCTGTAACAATACACTATTGTTTTACATAATCAGTTTCTTTCTTTCTTTTTTTTTTTTCCCCATAATCAGTTTCTGATAACCCTGAGCTCTAGTTGGTCTTAGAGTTCTTGAGAACTAGGAATTACTCTTGAATCATATTTAAGTAATTGTTAATGCCCTGATAATTATTACAATGTTGAAGCATTGCTTATCCTATTTAAACATGATTTGGTAGTTTCTTGTCTGACAGCACTCTAGTGTTTTTTAAATGAGGAGAAATGTGCATTTAAATATGTGTTAGAAAATTATTTAGATGGCTTATGTCCCCCTAATATTAAAAATAATTCTAGATTGCCCAAGTACTAAATATATTCACTAGCTTGGAGTTTTGGTTGGAATTATTTGTATAACTAATTTGTTGGTGTGCTAAGTACTGTAAGATATCATTGGTGTACTTACATTAGTTAACTAGGTCAGATAGTACAGTTCATTTTGGAAGTTTTTTTTTTTTTTTTTTTTTGGCGGTATGAGTTTGAACTTAGGGCCCTATTCTCACTGGAGCCACTCCACCAGCCCTGTTTTGTGTTGGGTATTTTTGAGATAGTGTCTCCCAAATGATTTGCCTGGGCCTGGCATTGAACCTTAATCCTTCTGATTAGCTAGGATTACAGCTGTGAGCCACCAGTGTCCAGTTTAGAGCAGGTTTTTTTTTTTTTAATGACCTGTTTGTTCCAGTGTAAGATTGTTTTTAATTGGTAAAATTTGGTAAATATATTAGCAAACATATTATTTTGAAATTTTTCCTTATATGGTTAAAATTCCAAAATAAGACTTCTAAAGTGAAGCATGGTGACACATGTCTATAATCTCACTACATGGGAAGTGGAGGAAAGGGGTTCGAGAGTTGGATGCCAGTCTCTGCAGTTTGTGAGACCCTGTCTCAACTCCCTCCGCCCGCTAATTCATAGAACACTTATTATTTGAGGAATCCTTACACTCTGTTTATCCTGAAATATGTACCACAAGTTAAAGCCATGGTCTTACCCTAATTTTAAACTAGTTAGCTGACTTTTAAGGGCTTTGGTTATGGT